CCCTCGGGAGGCGCGTTAACCTTTCCCGGTCTGTTCCGTGTGCGTTTGTGAATGCAAACGCAAAATACGCGTACCGGCGTAGGTGTCTGTTGCAGTATTGATTTTTAGATCGTGATTAATTTTTTTAAGTAATGTTTTGTTATAAAATATGTGCTGATTGCAAATAATTCGATAGGTAGAGAAAATGGTTTTTCTCGCACGGCTCTGGAGGTTGCCATGACAGGCAAACCAAGAACGAGGCGTCTGGGGCATAAAAAAATAAGGACGCTGTAGCGTGTGGCTAGTCTACTCAAATAGTTCCCGTTTAATGTTTTATTTCTGATTTAAAAACGAAAAGTTAGCCAAAAGGCATGCTGAAATATTACTGCCTGTGTTGGCATTTAAGATTTCGAAAATTGCAGGTATCTATCTATTTTCTTTTCCAGAGCTTTTATTTTCCTCGCCTGGAAAAGCTTGCTGTTTTAAAGCGTTACAAGATTAAGAGACGGATTTGCTGCCGTGAAGCCTGAGCGGCTGAAACGTCTTTTATTAGGAAAGGGCCTAGAGGCGCCGTGCGAGACAGGGCGCTGCCGGGCCTTTCCCGGTGTGTCGGGGGGAGCGCGGAGCTGCGGCGGGGGCCGGAGGGCCGAAGGCAGGGAGCGCGGCGCTGCTGCCTGCCCTGCTCCCGCTGCGGCCGCGCCGCGCTTGCCCTCGCTCGGGGCGCCGGACCCTGCCAGCCGGAGAGGTGCAGCGCAGCTCTGCTCCGCGACTTAGCGACCGCGTCGAAGCTCTTTTCTCGTTAGATTGGAGAGCAGAACAAACCTGGAAAACGCGCACAGGAAGAAGCATGGGGTTTTCGTGCAACTGATGCCCGAGCCCCGGGAAGCGGAGCTGCAGGTCTGAGCCCAGCAGAGGCGGTTTCCGTTGCTGGTCGAGGTCTGTGTCGCTTCGGGGTGGATGATAATGGCAAAGGCAAGCGTCGGATAAACTATTTATCTTCCAGTTCTTTGAATCTTCAGACTCTTCCCTCTCTTTAAACCTTCAAAATAAGCATTGGTGCTTTTTAAAACGTAGCTATTTATTGACTTTTCTGCATCGTGAGCAGCTAAATTTAGGCCGTGTACTCTGTGCCCCTCGGAGGTGATGCAGAGAGCGGTTTTAATGTTGATGCCTCCGCATCCAGATCGCTTCCGCTTGTCGCTCGCCTGCCTTCGCTCCGCGGAGATGCCCTAGCGGCTTTCGCGCTTTTTGGAGCTCCTTCCGCTGAGCTCCCCTCCTTGCCCCGTCCCGGCTGCAGAACGCCCTCTCCGAGAAGTCGCCCTCCCTTTATTTGCTGCCTGGCTTTGCCGGGGAGATGCGGCAGGGCGTCTCAGCGGCGGTCGCCCGCGGCGCGGCGAGGACGCCGGCAGGGAGCCGGCTCTGCAGACCCGCGGCGCTCCCAGCTCTGGGGTTTGCTGCGCGAGGGACAAAGGGCATTGGTAAAAGGAGTAGCAGAAGTGTAGAGCGTAGCAGGAGGGCCAGGAGGAAGCGTATTTTCTGAGCCTCGTGCAGTGAGCGAAGCGCAGCCTGCAGAGCCCAGCACCGGAGCGCGGTGAGCGCGTCCAAGTCCCTGATGGGGAGGGCGGACGGAAAGGATGCGGTGGGGACCATAATGACGCTGCAGCTGCCTCAAAGAATGCAAGTTCCTTGCAAGCTGAGGCTGGTTTTAGTCGCTACGTTCATAATTTAAGAGCATGTCTGTTCTTTTAATAAAGATTTAAAAATCTGGTCTTTTAAAAAAAAATTAAAAAAAAAAAAAAAAAAAGGAAACACCTTAGAAGCTTATTTTCAACTATGCTGTGGGAAATCATTCCATAAAATTCATAAATAAATGCTTTTATTTTGCTTGTTTTATATATTTCACTATATTTGCCAAGTAGAATGCAGTGCTGAAAAGCAATTCGAAGGCAAGAGTGTTTTGAAGGAGAAAATGCCGGTTGTGGGAAGGGAGAGTGGAGCACGGTGCAGGCAAGGTGCCCCCGTAACCCGTTCCTGCCCCCGTCGCAGAGGGCCCTGCCGAGGAGCGCTCTATAGCTGTATTTGGCTGTATTTGGCGTGTAGAAGGAGCGAGCCACGAGTGGGTCCCACCAGGCGGGACAGGCACCTGAAGCACGTGCGGTTGTGTAAGGTTTTAGCCCGGTAAGCAGTGCGCTACGACTAGCGCTTCCGAGCTAGACGTGCTTCCTGCGCCCCCGCGTCCGAGGTGGCAGAGGCCGAGTGCCGGGGACGCCGGGGACGGGCGCAAGGTGGCACAGGCAGCCACCCCTTGCA